AGCTTTATTCCGCCATCTTTAAATAGAGCAGGGGGAAGGCCATCGGAGCCCGGCGCTTTGTGACGTCCCAAGGCTTGGATCTCCTTGTGGATTTCCGCCTCGGAAGGTGGGTCTGTTGAAACAGACCATGGGACGTGTGCCGGAATAGCTGTGTGAGAAGCTGGCGCGGGTGGCCAGCTAAACTGTGCTTTGAAGTGCTCCGCCCAGCGTTCAAGGCGTCGCTGTTGATTATCTTTTCCCATGGTCAACAAACCAAACGTTTTTCTATTTAGGTATGCTATTAGTTCCAAATTATTTCACAATTAGAACATCGATTTAATGATTTGTGGTTTAGCGTTTGTTACAAGTTCCTGCGGGGAAGGAAATAGTTGTCGAGATCCCACTATGACAGAGTTTTGTTGTACAAAAAGTGAAATTGTTCATAAACACAACACTGTGATTTTGCTCAAAAGATCTTTTCACCTCAAGTTGTAATAGCTCGCATTCAACCCAGTCGTTGCAGTGCTAACAATCTGCACCGTAAGGATTTTCGGGACGAAGAGGAACACCTTTACAATTTACCTGACGGTAAGAAACTTCGGTGCCGCTACACTCACCTAGTTAGTTGTGATCTCCAGTGTTTTTATCACAAACCTGATTGTGATGAACATTGGAAGAAGTAAAACCCAGTCGGTCAAAACAACCTAACGTCTGATTTGAGCCAACCGGCGACGAAGGTCACGAGATTCCGATTAGAGCACTCGACGTGCGGACCAGGTGCATACTAAAAGAAAAGAATTGACTATCACCGCCACCGGTAGGGTAGGGTATTGCAACTATGGGGTGAATCATTTCTATTGATCACCACGTGTAGTAAAAATGATCAACTACGGATAATTTTGACCAAAACGCAAAACGAGAGAAAGGCTTACTGAAAGAGCGATCTTCGCTGGGAGCTTGAGCATTGTTTGGTTCAGTCTCGCGAATACTGGTTTGTTTCCGCGTTGGAGTTGTGTTTCCGGACGGATGATCGACAATACCATTCTTTCCGGTTAATGCATCTTTGTTTTTCACTGCTCGAGCATTTTTGACCAGCATCTTATAATGTGTATCCAAAGGATGTTCCCAAATGCTCTTGCCAGAAACGGTGTTGTAATAAAATATTTGGTTATTTTCATCCTGGAAAAGGAGAATGAAGAATCCAATTCGCCAGAGGTTTAATCTGTTCAGCAAATTATTATTTTAGTGGGTACGATACTGTCAATTTACTTAGATCAAAGCAAGTGACTTACTATTCACAACGGGGGCCCTCAGCTATTTAAACACTTAACCGCGAAGATTACTGTACGATTATGGTAATCGACGACGAGACTGCACCTTGACGTGGTGTGATGGCTTGCGCACCTCTTTGATCAAACGAGCTACACAGGATGGCTTTTGTCAAGCCAAAGATCTAATCATGCCTGGAAGGTCGAAGGGTAAAGGTCCGACGAAGTCCAGTCTCCTGGTCCTCCAGGTTGTGGGGTTCGACCAGAATTTGTGTTTCAGTCGGTAAAAGATGGTGGAGTAAATGATCCAAGTAAATGGGCCCCCACTTCGCTTCACCCGCTGTATAGCGATCACAATAGGTTTATACACTTTTGCGGCGTGCCTTTCAGTTCAACTGTTTTTACAACCATTAAACATACACTTTCATGCGTCGGTTTTGGTTGCTGTCTTCTGGTGCCCTATTTGGATAAAAGAACCGAATGAAGATTGGAAGCAGCGACCCTAGAAGAACTTCACGGTCAAATGAATCGAAGGCTTCCAATGCGATTGTTTTTCTAACCTGCGCGTTAAACTCACCTGCCAGCACCATGATACCAGAGCTAGGGCTCAACCGAATGAGTTTGGCGAGTTTGTCGTAAAATTCGTCATTTTGTGAAGTGGGACCGCATTTGGTTGTTGCATATGCGGAAATGATGAACAAATACCTCGCTACCCGTTCGAACACTAACTGAACCCTGTAGCCTCAATGCACACAAACGACTACTGACGGGTATCCAATCTAACATAGAGGATTCAGCTTTATCGTTTAGTACGATCGCCACACCACACTGACCCAGTAAGCGTACTTTATCGTCTGCTCATGTGCGAAAGATATACCTCGAGGACAGACCCCTGTGCAATCAGGTGGCTTATGATACTTGGATCCTGAATTCGTGTCTCCGATACGCAACAGACATCGATTTCATTGTACACGCAAGACACGCCTGTCAATCAACCTGCAAGAGTCCTCACGTTGAAGGCCCCTAGATTCAGTAGCTGACGAGGCTTTAGAATCTATCTTGCGGTAAGCTACTTATCGGACAACTTGACGACGAACTTTGGCAAGTGACGAACAAGCTGTCAGAGGGAGTGTTACGGATCAGAAGAAGGGGTAAAGGTAGATAGTTGCGTACGGAGGAAAGAGTTAAATAAAGCTTGGGATCTCCGAGCAGTAGCCCACTTATCATTACTCACCACGCTCGATGCAAATGGACAGCGTGATCCTGATTATCCTGCGCGACGACCGACGCAGGATGAAATTATTTTTAGTTTGTGTTCATTGGAGCTATATGGACGGGTACTGCCAGGGTGTCCAGCCACTAAGCAGGAGAACGATTAGGGTTCTCAGTCAGTCTTTAGTTCTGACAAGAACCTAACCGCAAAACAGTGGTTAAGGCGGATTGGACACCCGTCAACTTTGATCAATTATTCCACCAACAAGTTTTACCGACTCAGATGCCAACTCAACTCAAACCCCCGACGTGGAGGACCAGGTGATGCGTCCGTCAGGTGAGACATAGCTGCCCGGATAACAAAACGTGTCCAATTCCTCTACAACTTCTCCAGTCAGTGTGAGGTTGGGGACTGGGCCAACCCAATCTTGGAGCAGCATTTCACACTTTGAATGTGCATAGCTCATACCGAACATCGCTACACTAACATTCAAACTATCCAGAAAAGCTGGCAACTAACCTGAATCTCCGCTTAGTAGCACAATGTCGTCTGCATACTCTAGATCAGACAGTCTGCCACCCGGAAGTAAATCGATACTGCTATCCCCGCACGAGGACAGCGCTGTTTGGAGAATTAAATTTATGACAAAGCTGGATAGAAACGGAGAGCGAGTGCAACCCTTACGAGCACCACTATCTGTAGTGAACTCGGGTGAAAAAGAACCGTAAGCTCGGACCCGGCTTCGGCTATTATTGTAGAGGGATTGATATACTGAAGTAAACTTCTCGAGTAGTTGCAGAGTTTAGAGCGGTCGACTGAGTCGAAAACCGCTTTCAGGTCGAGGAAGATGGAAATGGTAGACTTACGAAAGGAGTGTATGTGTTCTAGGATTTGACGAAGAGCAAAGATGTGGTCGATACAACCTCGACCAGGTCTAAAACCAGCCTGGTTCTCACGCGTGCACTCTTCACGAGCGGCAGACAATCGACGCAGTATGATACCAGAGAGAAGTTTAGAGGCAATGTTAATTGAACTAATTCCTGTGGTTTTCACAAGAGGACCAGTCGCCCTTATTGTAAATCGGTATGATCGTCGATTCACACCATTCAGTTGAAACCTGTTCCATTTCCCACACAAAGGAGTTTTATTAACTCCAAAACCAAGGCTAGACGTCCATCCATAAAAACCGATGGAGACAGCTCGTCGGGGCCGGAAGCCTTGTATCTTTTGATGAAGCTCACTTCTCGGGTAACCCTATTTCAGATGGAGGACTGATGTCAACAGGTCGTATCTACACAGCTGTTCTGCCCATCGATCTAGACGGCGTTGGCGAATATGGATCTGTGTGCCGTCGGACTCCTCAAGTACCTCTCTTAAGCCTGCTTTCTTCGGTCCAGTACTCCTAGTTAAACGAAAAAGATTGCGACTATTACCAATAGCCGCAGCCTTCTCCATCTATACACTTTCCTACCCACCACTTCTCGCGGTCATTGCTCAGACTGTCGATGAGCTGGTGTTTAAGGGATTTGCGCGCTTTGTCGTATCTTGAATCCGAGGGAATGGCTTTG